CAGGTTGAGCTGTTGTTCAGCATCTTAGCTGTGGAGGGCAGTGTCACTGGCCCTCATATGTGGGATCCGAACCGGGGCCCTCTGGCATTCCAACCAGTTCTTAACTATCGCGCCACTCGGCCGGCCCAATGCTGTCTTGTTCTTAAAATGTCAATTGTTTTCATAAGCAGAAGTCCACTTTGAGTTTAAAAAATAATTACACCAATTGTTTATCAGAAGGGTTGGGAAGTCTGACCACCATTGAATTAAAATTTATTTATACTTTCTTTGGTTTTCCTAAACAGAACAATGCAGAAATGATTGCTAGCAGTATTATAAGTATGATATAATTAAACGTCAAGGATTTTGCTTGAACATTTCAGTTTAAGAATACTTAAATATACGTTTTAAAATTTGCACAACTAAATAAATATTCATTACAGAAGAAATGACTGTATTTGTACTTCATTCTAAGAGTTGAATTTATACTTTTATACTGAGATCCCAAAAGGACAAACTTCAGATTTCAGTGAGTTTCTCGTTATGTATATCAAAAGACTTTCAAATGTAAAACAGCCATGATAAAACTCTTTGGGATGAACTTTGATATAATTGACAATTCCAACTAGTAATGAATGACTTAGGTATAACACCAGGATTCCTTTCTCACCACAACAGAAGGCAAACATTCTATTAACATTAACTCTAAGGGAGCACCCAACTTATTGGCGTGGAATTTTATAAATATGTACTTGGAAGTCATTTCCAGTGTGCGGGTCCAGTAAATGGATTAGCAAATGAAAAGAAAGCTTAAAGGAATGCGATTATAGCATTGGAGGAAAGAAGTCACTACACCTCACCAGGAAACAGCAAGGCAATTACATCCAGCAGCTCAGGCGAAATAAGGCTAAGTTTCCACTGGCCACCTTCCACGGAGCCTTGGGTTAGGCCACAAATACCTAAAGGGTGTCTTTATGTTTATGTCATGTGCCTCTGTGTTCACATCGGTCCTCTATGGAATCGCCCCCTTCCTCCTTTAATATTCTTCTTATTGTATCTCAATGTTCCTTTTGAGTGACCCATTTTCTCAGCGTTTCTCATTTCCCTGCTTAGGTTCTGTCTCCCTATTTAATCTTCTCCACATTTCCCACTTCTCCAAGTCCTAGTCTCCATTCCCTTCTGCTGTGTTCCTCCTTCTCCCATATAGTTCTCAATGCATCTATTTATCTTCTCACACAAGATACCATATTCCTTTACCACTCAACTAGGTCCCACTCCTTCCAATAAGCTTTCCTTAACTGCCCAAGCAACCAGTGACTCACTTGGTAGTATCAACAATCATAACACACTGACCTGTCACCGAGTCAGCACTGTATCTCTTTATTTGTATATCCTGTCCCCCAATTCTCCTTAATGACACACAAGGACAATATGCTAAAGTCTCTATGTTCTTTAATATTTTTTGTGCTTTGATCCAGGTGATACAGTAAATACTCAAAAAACTAACATACCTATATCTAGCAATGTGCCCTGTGCATAGAAGGGGCTTTTACAGTGTAAGAAGAAAACTGTCCAGAAAACACACAATTACAATACACTTTTATAGGTGCTATGATGGGGATAAGCAAGAGGCAAAGCCCCTAACCCAGTCTTTAGGGCAGGAGCATGTCAGGAAAGGCTTCCTGAGCAGAGGTAAAGTGATGGAGACTCAAAAACCCACAGAGAAATGGATAAAGACCTACTGGGAATAGTGAGAAAGAGAGAATTAAGCTGGGGTTTATATGCATACAGCCTAACCTGTATTTAGTTGCAGGATGGTTTAAGATGAAAAAGCAGGAGCACCTAAGGTGAATTTTGAAGGAAGAGAACACTCTGCTTCTCTAATTTAGCCTTGACTACTACTTTTTTTTTTAATTGGGGAACTGGAGGAGGGGAACAGTGTTGGGGAATTGGGGAGGGGGACTAGCCAAGTGTTGTTCTTCAATCTTAGTTGTGGAGGGTGCCAGTCGCCATCTGCCTGCCCGTTGTTGGCAGCTCATGATCTCTAAACTCAGGTGCTGTGTTACAATCTTAGTTGCGGGTGGGCGTAGCCAGTATCCCATGCAGCCTTGTTGTTAAGAGCACACGCTCTATCCACTGAGCCGTCCAGGCAGCAGATCAGCTCAAGGTGCCAAGTTCAGTCTTAGTTGTGAGTGGGCATAGCCACCATCCCATGCAGGAGTTGAACCAGCAGCCTTGTTGTTAAGAGCGCATGCTCTATCCATTGAGCCATCCAGGCAGCAGCTCAGCTCAAGGTGCCAAGTTCAGTCTTAATCGTGAGTGGGCATAGCCACCATCCCATGCAGGAGTTGAACCAGCAGCCTTGTTGTTAAGAGTGCATGCTCTATCCATTGAGCCATCCGGGTAGCAGCTCAGCTCAAGGTGCCGAGTTCTTAGTTGTGGGAGGGTGTAGCCCACCATCGAACAGGCAGTCTTGTTGTTAGGAGCACGTTCTCTCACCAGCTGAGCCACCCTGCCACCTGTTGGCAGCTCAGCAGCAGCTCAGCTCGGGCACAGCATCACTGGCCCATATAGGAATTGAGCTGGTGGCCCGGTTGCTCAGAGCTCGCCATCTTAAGCCAACTCTTAACCAACTGAGCCACTTGGCCAACCCAGCCTTCACTACTTCTTAATACACAGATCAGATCTAGTAATTTTCCTTCCTTGACAACCTTCCATCAAGCTCTTCATGTACTGTTATACAGAAATCCCCTAACAGGTATAAAAAAAAATTCAAAGGACTCAATAGTGCTGTGTGATGCATGGTCTACTATCATTTACGTGAAAAAGAGAAAATGAATAAAAACACAGTTGGTTTTACATTCATAAAGCCTCTCTGGAAAGATAGTCCCTAAACTAATAATGTTTGCAGAGAGGGAAACTAAATGGGGGTTGGAAGATGGGGCAGAAGTGAAACTTTTCACTACATGCTCTGTAATACTTTGGGGGCTTTGAACCAGGCAACTAAATATATTAAGCATTCGAAACACTTAAATACTTGCCTTGCCTAATAAAACATTTTCTGTCTTCCCCACCACCACACTTTTTAGCATGGCATTAAAGGCACAATCTCAACCATGTTAGTCTCATGTCTGTTTATTATCTTCTACATGCCCTGTGATCTAAACACTTTGCTTTCCTCACTTTTAAACAAGGTTTGGAGCAGTCATGTGTGCCTAAAACAGTGGCGTCCAAAAATTATTGACAAGCCACAATAAGAAATACATTTTGTCATACTCCATTGTACACAGAGTAAATTCATGTAATTGAAACAAAATCTTCATGAAACTACACTTATCATTACTGTGTGTAATGTACTCTGATATTTTCTACTTTATTTATTTAAAAAAATGATGGTTACAAACTACTAATTTCATGAACCTACTAGAATATAAGCATCTTAGGGGCAAGCACTAAGTGATCTCTGTATGTCCATGGCTTCTGATCAGCTTTGCACAAAGTAAATAGTGACTGATTCAACAAGGACTCAGTGTTTACAAAGTACTCTGTATACTGTTAGGTGCTGGGATAGAAGCATGAATAAAAAAGTTAAATCACTACTTAGGAGTTTGAGATAAGCTCTATTTTATTCCAGATCTTTGAAATGCACTTTTACAAATGTATTAATTATTTTACATTTCAC